TTCTGCTTTCTTGTTTTATCCATTGTTTCTACCCACGCGCAATCTTGCCGAAATATTTGTCAGCGACGACACCGATTGTTGTCATGTCTAGACCTCCATGCATGGCGGTCAAGGCAAATTTGCATTTATAGCAGCGAAAACCCTTGTGTTTGACGCAAGAAAGGTAGATAAGGCTAGGGATTTCCTTCATCAAAGATGGTACGGGTGTCTTGTTTATCCTTGGTGGTTAATTGGGCGCGAGTTCGTCGATTTGGGTTCACAAACAATGTCAGCGAGGTGCTCGACTTGGCCCAACCTCTCTTTTCATGCAATTCTCTTGTCATTATACCATTGTATTATGGCAAGCCCTGAATTGGCAAGCCCTATTGAATTCGAGATACACCATTTCGTCCACTTCTACCTAAGCAGAAAAAATATCCCTCTCTTAGAAAAATAAATTCCCCCCCTCAGCACATTTCCCGGATACTCATACGTCCCATCTCCACCAATATCTCCTTCCTTTCTACCATTTCTACCTAACACCCAAACGTCGCGCTGTTGACCACTGTACGCTTGGGGTTTTAACATATTTCCATTCTTGTGCTTTTTACGCACTTCATCAGCCGGTCTGCAGGTATTTAGCAGCTACTGACGTAGAACCCTTTTCAGTCTTAATCGGTATTCTATGCCCGTTACACGTCGTGGCAATCTCTACGATAACATCGATCAGACCAACACAACTGGTTTTCTCTTCAGAGACGACGAATCCTCGATGGATTTGAACAACTTTTCTAACATTTCTAACATTGACGCTAGTGAGGACGGTTTCCCTCAGCTCTACGCACAGAAAGGAAATCCCAACGTGGTAAGTTAACGCCTCAGGCACTTTTCACACCTGCCGTCGTTGCCCCTTCGTTGCCCCTTCGTTGCCCCTTCGTCGCTCCTTCACTGCTCTTTCACTTTACCTGAGTCACGCATTGTTCCCTACTGTATGTTTGCTTGTTTGTCCTGTTTATGGTCTGTGCTCCCGGTTTCTCGAACAACATTTGAGGAACTTGTCAGGCGAACTGCGCTTGGAAGTGTTTTAATTCAGCGCACGTTCAACACAGCTACTACACATATCAATTTCCACCTTACTTTGGAGATTATATCTTTTACAAGAATTCTTCACTCCTCACATTATTCCCAATTGATAAACGCTGTTGCATCTTCACTCGTCCCTTCCGTCAGATATCTAGTGTTGCTAGTTATCAGGACGCTAGTTATCAGTACGCTAATCTTCCCACAGTTATCTGCTTCTTCCGCCGCAGTTGATCTCGCATCTCACCGCGCAAGTGGTGAAGCTACCCCTACCAACGGCTGGGCGAACATTCCACGTCATCGACAACAGCAGAGTCTATCTACTCTAGGATCGGCCCAAATGAATACCACCGACGGCATGTCTACTGGCCAAGCAGGGTCATCGACCGACAGTACCTCTGTTGCTAGTCGCCCTTTCCGTCACTCTCTCGACGTGAGTCAGTACAGGGAGACTAGTACCGACACCGCAACTACCTCAACCATGCCTCCCTCGTCTACTCAGGTGCTTTCCACACCTCCCAAGCTACAGACTTCCTTCTCCGCAGGTGAGATGGCTGCCGTCAAGAACGTCCCTAGCGCTGCCTTGACTCCTTCGAGCAATGCGAATGCCCATGCCCAACAGCACTTCCACAACCACAATGCAAGCATTGGCCGAATCCCCCCTGGCGCTATGAAACGCCACAGCCGTGAGCTTTCCAATGATAATCACGCTGTCGCTGCCCAAGCTGGTGCACCATATCCATCAATTTCATCCCAGCTGCAGGGTGGTGCTCCTGCGTTTGGCCCGGTTGCATCCAGCCAGGCCGCTATTCAGGCGCCTATCTCTGCTGGAACTGGAACAGCCGCTGCTGGTTCGCCCTCATCTCTTGGGCCTTACCAGCAATTCTATGGCGGGTACAGCCAGCCGAACCCTAACGGTCCTGGCCCTGGCCCCGGCCCCGGATATAACATGAACATGATGACAATGGGCATGCAGAACTTGGGAATGAACAATTACCCTCCTCAGAACTATGTCGGCTACGGCCCCATGTACCAGCCCCATGCGCAGCCTCGAGACTCTCAGCAGCGTGTAATGCAGCAGCGTCGTGCTCAGGATAATGAGGCCATGACCCGTTATGCCAACCTATCATTGGAGCAGGTAGGAGGTACAATCTACGATCTTTGCAAGGATCAGCACGGCTGCCGATACTTGCAGAAGCAACTCGAGAACCGAAACCCCGAACAGGTCCACATGATCTGGCTAGAGACGAATCAGCATGTCGTCGAGCTTATGACGGACCCCTTTGGAAATTACTTGTGCCAAAAGCTTCTGGAATATTGCGACGACGACGAGCGTACTGTGCTGATTCAGAACGCGTCTGGAGAGATGGTCCGTATCGCGCTCAACCAGCACGGCACGCGAGCCTTGCAGAAGATGATTGAGTTTGTCTCGACTCCCACGCATGTTCAGCTCATCATTGAGGCCTTGCGATATCGAGTTGTCGAACTCATCCAAGATCTCAATGGAAACCATGTGATCCAGAAGTGTCTTAACAAGCTCAGCCCGGAAGACGCCCAGTTCATTTTCAGTGCAGTCGGCAACAACTGTATTGAAGTGGGTACCCACCGTCATGGTTGCTGCGTGCTCCAACGATGCATTGACCACGCCTCGGGAGAACAAAAGATGTGGCTTGTTACTAAAATCACTGAGAATGCCACTCGACTTGTACAAGACCCCTTTGGCAATTATGTGGTTCAATACATCATTGACCTGAACGAGAGTGTCTTCACTGAGCCGTTAATACAGCAATTCCGTGGCAAGATTAGCCAGTTGTCCCGTCACAAGTTCAGCTCCAACGTTATGGAGAAGTGCATCCGATGTGGCAATGACGACTCTAAAGACATGATGGTCAACGAGCTCCTGGCCCCGGGCGAGATGGAGCGCCTGCTACGCGATTCGTTTGGTAATTACGTTGTTCAGACCGCCTTGGACCATTGCACGTACCCCATGAAGATTCCGCTGGTCGAAGCCATCCGTCCGATCGTTCCCACCGTCAGAAACACTCCGTACGGTCGCCGACTCCAGGCCAAGATCCAGCAGCACGACACTCGAAGTGCCAATACCAGCGGACAGGCCACCCCCGCCGACGCAACCCAGGGTCAGATTGCGATTCGTCCCCCCCACACTCGCGCCATGACGACTCAGTCTATTGTGTCGCCACCTGGTCCCTACACGAATGGCCACAGCCCCAACGGTATTAACGGCACTCGAGGCAGAATGGCATACCCGCCCCCTAATGGCATGGGCGTCCCTGGCGTCCCTGGTAATGCTCCTCCGCAACCGCCGCGAATGGCCCAGTACCCTACATACCCTGGTGCTGGTGTTAACCCTGGATCTGGCGAAGGTGATTTCTTCTAGATATTTCTCATGCCAACGGCGGTCATGATACTTGTAACGGTACGATAATGAACTCGGACGATAAACCATTTCCGGTGGAATTTTCCCTAATGGTCGATTACGTGGTCTTTGTGGCCTTCGTGGCCATTTCGCAAAGAATGAATGAGATGCTTCATACGAGCTTGATGACACCGCTTTCCTTTTCTCGCGCCATCCACATGTCACCTTTACTTCCTTTCTACGCAAGATATCACACAAACTCATTTGCGTCATCGAGTACCACTGTTAGCGCCCATTGTTCCTAGGGTTGCTCTGTATATTACGCACTCGATACACGATTCTCGATACCCCAGCCAAGGCCAGCTTTCACAACAGCATATCGAATTTAATCGTGGCCCGCGCCTGTGTACTCAAACATCTCGGCATAGATTTCCTTTTTGTTTTCTCGGTTTGCGGGATGCTTTTTCGGCAGACACATGCATTACTCCTATTTTACACGCATTAGGCCGGTATTTCGACGTCATAGCTTCTCGTGATGTCTACCACTGCCCTAATCACGTATGCTCTGCGATAGACATACATACGCTCGCACCTAATCTCCTCGACCAGTTTCTATAGGAACCAGCTCTATGCAGATGTCTTTCTATACATGCTGGTCTCGTACGAACGTATCATGGCACACGACAGCAGGCTATGGGATGCTGGCATCAATGGGTTCTCTTGTACACCTACATGTTTCTCCCATGGGAAACCTAAATCAACTACTTACGGCTGCAGCAAAGCGTGATGAGCTCAGGGGACCCAGAAGATGTAACAGCTCTCGTCGTTAAATACAGATGGGAGGCGACTGGATACCAGTTCCAGATGATCTTGGCTTGTGTTTTACACTGAGGCTCATTTATCAGGATTTGTTCTGCGATGTCTTTTTCGACGGATTTTGCCGGTCTCGCTGATTTGGCGATATTGGGCAACGATTTTCTGTCCTAGGTATCTTCCCCCGTGGAAGAACCTCTTCGCCTGTACTTTGCAGATAGCCTAATAGAGGCATATAAAATATTTCTCGAGTCCATTTTCTGTGACATGATTTTTCAGGACTTACTGCTTCCTACCTAAGTTGCCATTTAATGACCGTAGAATATAACATAGTGGAGAGGCCGGTACCTTTAACGTAGTAACCTAAATCGATTAATATAACAACTTATCTGAGGTACTTTATACGTATAACAACTACACCACCAAAGTCAACAAAGTCACCAAGACTACTAAAACTATTACAAGTACTGCAATAGTTATTATAATGCAAATAGGGCATATGGCGTACAAGACATAAAAACGGACCATAGACTATAGCCGTGGTAGCTTATATCGCGTATAGTTAAAGCAGATAGGTTATCACGTTCAAGTTACCGTACAAAGGCTTATGATAAGCCTAAGTAGTGGGTTATGCAGCTCTTGAATGTCGATTGCTTTAAGCTAATAGCCGCCGCAGGAAAGCCTCATTCAACGACAAGAGATACGAAGTCACATTTAGCAAAATAGTGTCATCAGGCACGAAGTATTAATGTAAACAGCCGAAAGCAAATAATTTTTTCGTCCCAGGAAGAATCTTGTTCCTATGTAGACTACGTGCAGTAACTCCAGGCATAACTCATGAGCCCGACGCATGCCCTATTGACCCTGAAGAAAGACGTTGTTCCCTGCCGTAACCACGACATCCACAACCAAGCCGTCGTCGCACGTCCCCTAGTTTCCACCTCCGCCTCCGTTAGGCGCACGCGCTTATCGGTAACGCCATAGGGAGAGGGTGTTGTGTCTCTTCCAGGTCTTTCTGCGACCAGCCTTGGTCTTGTTGTAGCGGTGGCCCTTGTTGAGACCACGCGACTTCTTGCCGGTAGCGGTGAGACCACGGGCCTCGCGGTGCTTGTGCACGGGGTTGACGATCCAGTTGATGCGGGGGTCCTGGCGGATGGCCTTGTGCTGGGGGTCGACGAGGATAACCTCGTAGTACTTGTAGGTGGAGTCCTGGTTGATCCAGTACGAGTTTAGGACTCGCAAGTTGGCGCAGCGGCGGCCGACACGCTCCTCAGCGGTAGCCTTGAGGGATCGCTGGTACTTCAGCTGGTTCACACCCTGGTTGGTGGGCTTGCCTGTAATTTCGACATGATTAGTCGTCTGCCTCGAGAATAGTATCTCAGTTTCGTAGTAGACTTACCGTAGGTGGCACCCTTAGGCACGGGCCGCTTGCGACCACCGCGGCGGACACGCACACGGTAGATGACATAGCCCTGCTTGGCCTTGTATCCGAGGCGGCGGGCCTTGTCGGGGCGCGAGGGACGCGAGGCGCGGTGGATGACGTTCAATTGACGAAGCTATATTGATGCACTCTCAGCTAATGTTCAACGAGTGTATAGCAGAGACACGTTCCCTCCCTGCCGGGGAAAGGCAAAGGAGGGAAGACAGCGTCCACATAATCATCCACGCCAATATCTTGGACTGTTGTAGATTTTCGTGTGTATGATACGCTTTTCGTGTCGAAGGTTTAAAGCAATCGTGGAGGTTTCAACATACTTCCCAGCAGCGGACTCGGAGGAGGAATCGCAGAACATCGGACTGCTTCTTCTTCTGAAGCTCTTCGACATACTTGAGGGCACCCATCTTGACTGTGCGGTGAAAAAGGCAAAGGTTAGCAATAATATCAAAGAGGTTATGTCGAGTAGAGAGCTACAAACCAGGTTGGGAATAGAAGCCTGCAACAATGGATGGTCGTGTGTCGTTGTGTGTGGTGTGAGGAATTGAGGAATGCGAAAATCTTCAATTGAGTGAAGAAATTTGCCAAAGTTTGTGGGAGTGCGTTTGGGGGGGAAAATTAAGCGACCCGGGGCTAGCCCAGGAATGGGATAGTGTGACTTTTATTAGTGCATTGACCATATATACATCGGTACTTGGCTTATTGGCTTACCTTCGAACCCTTCCTGTCTCCACAATACCTATGTACATAGGTACAGATCTAGGTTAAGATGTATTTCATAATTGCATATCAAGAAACTCGAGGTTAATAGCAAATCTAAAGCTCCATATGATACAAGCTAATAGTTACAGCCCATCATCACAGATTCTCAATCTATGTACTCCTCTACTGTCCCCGCGATAGATTATTTGCTCCCAAGGGAACAGACTTCGCGATAGCCGTGAATTTCTTGACTTGCTCCGCTGCAACTGTACCCCAAGTATCCCCGTCTAACGCCATGCGGCTCTCTTTAAAGAGATCTGAAGCCATGCTCTCCCTTTCATTTGCCTTGGATCTATCATGCTGGCGAGATATGTGAGCCTCTGGGGTAAGCTTATCCTCGACGAGTTTCTCTCCGTACTCGCGGCCGCAAAAGAGAAGGTCTTTCATATCCTGCTTATCCTGCTTCCATTTCGCAGTGGGAAGCTCGAACTTATAACTCTTGAGTTGCTCGTCCGTCTCCTTGAACTTTCTGAGCAATTTATAGCTTCCTGATATGATAGACTGCGCATCTTGGAATAAGATATGACTCTCCTTGGTTGTGTTACGTGCCTGGCCGTCTAATCCGTAAGAGAGAACGGTTCCTGAGTAAAGCTCTCCAAAGGTTTCTACCAATTTATCATTGCTCTGGGCGCTATAGATAGTTAGATTAAATTCCTTGAATTGCTAGTTTGCGAGGTCTAGTGTTCTCACAGTTCTTTCTCCTGTTCTTGAATATACTCTCGCACCTTATCTGTCTGTTTCTTGACTTTCATTGCAAAGTTCTTGATGAAAGTCTTTGATTTCGTAACTTCGCCTTGGGTATTGCCCTCGAAAATCTCGGCCCATCGTTGAAAATTTCTGTATATACCAGGTACCATCAATAGCCAGACTTGTGAATTATTTTCCAATTTAGTACTCACCGGCTACCCTCTCGGCCCTCGTCTTCATCGTACTCTTCGAGTCGTGAAAGGCGTCTGTTCGTACCAGTCTTCTGCTTCTTGGTATTGTTTTCCTTGATCAACGCCTCAGGGTCGTCTGACAGTGCTGTAAAATGTGAATATGCCTGGCACTACGAACTATATCAACCCGCTGTTCTCTCGGCGGCGTACTTACACTCGGGATCAACCTTTCTCTTAGTTACTCTCTTCGACATGGTGGTTGCAAATGTATAATAGTTGAATAGGCTGGTTTCGGTAAATCGCTATAGAAACAAAACCGGGATCAGATGAAAGGTGAACTGGGGACTATGATGCGATTCAAACAATTCATTATTATCAACAAGGCTACATATAGCACTGTGAATTGAGGAGATGCAGAATCGTGTGTAAGAATCGGGGGCAAGAAATTCTCATTTTATTATTCTACTTGGTGACATAAGTAGGACGTAGAGGTATCTAGGTGGTTCTTTCCTCCCTGATGGCAGGTTCTTACTTAACCTTAGGTACATAGGGTATGTACGTGGGTGTCCACATATGATTTACTCCTTCTACAGTTATGTATTTCCATAATAGGAGGTCATGTGCTAAACAACCAACATTAAGTAGAATGCTCCTTCTACATCAGTATACTTTGAGTACCTACTTATAAGGGACTCACTTATAAAGGGCTCAGGTGTAGTTCAGATCCATAGTGTTGTATAAAAAACAGTATTAAACATTACTCAAATTTGACACATGCAACTCAGCGACTATAGTTATTAGAAAGCTTAATTATAGCAATTATAGCAATTTTAGCCATCGGAGGTAACTAGAACCCTATCTAGAACGAATCTGCCATTAAACTAACAGTGAAAGTGGACAAACCGAACAGAGGACTCCCCCCCTGAATGCATCTCGCAAGGCAAATGGGTGTAATCTTTCATGCGTGGCAAAGTCTTTTCTGGTCGTACAAAATCCGTCCATACCCAACAATTCGTGCAAACCGTCCCTTTTGAATATCAAATTACACATATGCTTGTGCAGCACGTCTATGTTGATCTCCTTTCAAGCGCAAACCTACTTTTTGTCTTATGGTTTCTCTTATGCCGTGTCGTCATGACGCAAAATGATTGATGGCCCTCTGTCTTCGGTCCGTCTTCTCGCCTCGCCTCAAACCCGAACTCGAACTCGAACTCGTCTTCGTCTGGCCTCGTTCCGAAATCTTTAAAGGTTGAGAAATCAAGGAATTCCAAGGAATTGATGGATGCCGGTGCCGACCAACGCCAAAAGTCTGATAATTGCGTCGGTCCTCTGGAGTTTTCGCCTAGGCGTACTGTGACTTATATGTACCACAGGCGCCTCTAGGAATAATTGACTGTATGTAAACAACTTGAAGGGGCCGCAAGGCCACCTGAAAAAAAGGAGAGAATTAAACTGTAGAATAAAAAAAAAATCAAATGAACGGAAATGGATGTATGTCAATCCGTCGATCGTAATACGTCTCTGTAGTCTCGGATCGTATAATAGTGATGGTATGGTACGAGGGAAGTATAATACGAGAATGGAATTTTAGTGTAATGATAAATCGGAGTCGAGGTTACTGTGTACGACATTTGTCTTTACTGGATGATTGAGGTTCCAAAAAAAAGGTGCCTTTAGAAGGTGCGTAACAAAGATAGATACCGTATGGTAGTAATGAATGTTTGCGTCAATGAATTTTAGAGCGAGGTTGAACCACAATAGGGGTAAGGGGTATCACAATATCCTCGCGAATCGGAAGTATCTCCAGGTTCATTAGTAACGAGAGGGAGTTCTCGAAGGCCGTAATGGAACTAATTCCATAAACTCCTCGCGTTCAGCGGGAGTTCAGAGAGAGCCCCTGGAACGCTCCAACCCATTCGTTCTGTCCTGTCATGTTAGGCACTGACTGATCGTGAGGGGAAGGAGCCGTGTGGGGACTCGGATAACGCGTTCGCATGCTTGGGGGGAATTCCCCAGGTTGGGAGAAGCCGCCGGGGTATGCCTCCATCCCTTGCATCACGCTCGGGACATATGGCACTGCGCCGGACCTTGGAGCACTGCTGAACGCACCATAGGCAGAATATGGAAAACCGGACGGGGGATATGCAGAACTGGCTACTGAAGGACGATCTGGCCCGCCAAATGGCTGGTTGAAGGGTGGCTGAAACGGTCGACCTGCAGCACCCGGACTGGTAAAGGCACCCTGTGAGTCCTGGGGTGGATTGGATCTTCGTTCTGTGTTGGCGGATCCACTTCCTCTTCCAAGGCCGACAGCACCTGGGCCGATGCCGCTGGGCGCCTGCAGCCCCAAGGTCGGGCTGGCAAATGAGGCAGGGTTGATAGCGGACATCCAAATTCGCGTCTTGTAGATCTTAAAAAGATCGGTGACTAGCGAGTTGAAGTTGATATACGAGTCGGCGAAGTAGTAAAAGGTTAATTTCTTCCAGTCCCTAAAATTCGTTAGCGACGTAGCAGGTCAAATATAGAAATAGTTACTCACATCTGGAACTCGGCATCGAGAATCTCCATGTTCAGACCATGCTCCTTCACCTTCTGCATGCACATACGCTTCGCCTTAGCTTCGTTTCCTTCTTTATCTCGAAGGTTGTGAATCTCGTGACTCTGTGCTAGGCGTTTGATGAGCTTCGGTTTGAGTTCGCCCGCGTTTGGTTCTTGCATATGATGCTGGCTTGGTGGTCCCATTCCGCCAATTGCGCTGCCTTGAAGACCATTAGATGCAGCCATCAAACCAGCCCCGGTCCCTTCCTGAGCGGCCGCGGCATTTTGAGAATACATCATCAACCATTTGTAGTGCTCTTCAGCGTAGTGCTCCTTCAATTCTTTAGCTGTTTGCCAGTCCACATTGTCGCGAGCCACGGTTCCAAGATCAGTTCCTCGATCCGCCTCTACAATGACAAGATCTCCAGGTTTAACCGTGAGGCCAGTTCCTTCTTGGATGTAGAATACATCTGCCCTAGAACACTTGAAAAGAACAATATGCAGCAGTTGGTTGTGTCTGGGCTGGCTCATTCCGTACATACTCCTGTGAGGCGATGGCGGACGGTTACCAAAGGTTGAAGGAAGTCCGTAGGCCGACTGGTACGGATTGCCGTAAGCGGACGACGCAATAGCTTGGTGTGCATTAGGAGCATTGCCTCCACCTGGGTAATAGGATACTGTTGATAAAGTTAGCCCTGAACGTAAACTAGACAGCTGAGATTTACTTACCAGGACTAGCGGTTTGAAAGCCTGCGCCCTCGGGGAACCCGCCAAAGTCTTGAGAATGAGACTGAGCTGCCTCTGCGGAAGTCGCATCATGAAGGGAAATACCCTCGCCAACAGAACCGATTGATCCTTGTCGCGTAGGCACGTCGGCAAACGAATGTCTACGACTCTGTGAAATCTCGGTTAAACCGCCAAAACCTAGAGAACTCTGCCAATATGCTTTCTTAACATTCTCGAGCTTTCTATTCTCTAGGGGATAAGGGGAACGGAAAGCCGCAGACGCAGACGCGTATTCGCTCATGCGCCTTCCTAATCCTCGTTTCGAGGCACTGTCCAGGCCCTCTCCAGCTTCATCTAATTCATCAATCGCGAAGTCAGACTCCTCGGGAACGGGTCCGCGGACGCCGTATCCGTTACCTAATCCGTAAGTAGCGGCGGTTGACGCACGGGGTCTGAGCCGAGAGTTGTGATATTGCTGTTGTTGCTGCTGTCTCAACATAGCATTCTCTCGAGTGAGCATCTCTATTGTCTTCGCCTCGGCACTTTGCTGCAGATGAGATGCCTGAGCTGTGTCGCTGGCACTCTCATCATCGTCATCCTCAACTTCCTTCACTTTACCTAGCATCGCACCTTCACTGGACATCTCACTCAACATACTCGGGCGCGAGGGTCTGTGCTGCAATCCAGGATGCCCAAGGGGAGCACGCGGTCTTCCCGATAGCACCGAGGACGTAGGAATCGTCGGCGTCGTCGCATCCGGGTCTAACTGACCCACCGAGTATGACTGGGAACGGTACGTCTTGGGGGTTGGGTGCAAGGGAATGGCGAAAGGAATTTGTGGGTTAGGATTCTGCTCTCGTGGAGTGGGCGATGTCTGCGCCAACGAACCATCTTCACCGAAGAAACCAGCATTACTGGGGACAGTAGATGTCGGCGAAGGGAGGACTTCGGTCAATCGAGAAGGCGGCTCCTTACGCTCTGTGTTCCAAATGCCTGTTCCCCATGGGAAAGACGGCGGTCCTTGATGTCCTCTTCCCATCGCCGCCGAAGATGTAGTATGAGAACCCCAAGCGGTCGTACCTGGCTCGGCTGATGGGGTACTAGGGTGTGAGGCTGTTGGTGACATAGAACTGCTCGCAAATGAACCTTTCCTCGGATGGGGTAACGTAGTTTGTGATGTATCATTCAACCAAGAAGCACGACGTACAGGCTTCTGAGGCTGTACTTGTGGTCGATGCGCGTCTTGTCGATGAGGGTCAGGTTCGTCGTCCGAACTTGCCAGGGCTTCAGAGTCTGGTGTAGATCTTCGAACATTCAGCTTTTCAAGAAGAATAGACTGGTTGTTTGGCGCAACTCCTGGGTATGCGCTCTGGCCGGCCTTGGTTGCGGTACTGGGCTTGATGTTGCTGGAGCTCATGGTCTGCAGATGATCGATTTCGGCTTAATAATCGCCGAAAGAAAAAAAAACCACACTGAAACGCAATGACAATAACCGACCAAGACCTCAAAATAGTAATAAAAAATAACACCCAGAATTTACAGGCGGTTTCCGGGGAGGTGTTCGAGCGTCTATGACGGCAGTAAATCGTGTAAACCTACGCGATGTGTTAGTCATGCTACGGTACCAGAACCAAAACTGAGATGAAAATGAAAACGAAATGAGAAGATCACCCCGCCAAAAGTAAATGCTGCAAATGATTTAAGTCTAGACGAAGGAGGTATGATTGGCGTTTCCTATCTTGAGCGCCAGTGCTCGGCGAATCCATCTCCACACGCCCCTTATATATAATGAACCACACAACGCCGGCGCAGACCAAATTACGTCCTCAAGAGATAGCCGGTCTAGTCAAGAGTGGACATAGCGTAAAACAAAGAGATTTAATACTTACTGGTGTCAACGAAAAATATTAGATCTATTCATAGGGTATCGAAGAATCCGTGTCTATTGAGAAAATGAAAGGCCGGCAGGCAACGCAATCTCAAGGGAAAAAAAGAATGGTCGACCGAAGTGAAGTAACGGTATTGATCGCCAGTCCCAAATCC